CCTAATACGACACAATACTTCCACTGGCTCTACCATTGCCATTTGTGTCCCACTACGGCCTTGTGCCAAGTGGTGGTCATTATTTCTCTCCCGTCTCCAAACACAACTTTGTATCATACACAACAATGACACAACATTCCTACGACATGGCACCACGGCCGACCTACCTGGGCCTATACATTGGTTGCCAAACTCGGCCCCCTACATTCATCTGTTCCTCCCGACGTCGACCTTCGTGCCGCTATCGAATTCGTTCGTGCAAACCCCTGGATTCCCCAATCATTGTCGTGTCTGCATTGTACAGAGAACATTTTCAACAGTTCGTATATTATATCTTATATTTGGATACCGTATATCTGTATATTCGATCCTTATATATCCGATGTTTTTTTGTCCTGTATTTGTAAAATAGCAACATATGTGAGTTGAAGTTATGAACTCTTACAAACTTTATAGTCAATAGGAATTCAAAGCTACAACCGTTGCGACAAATTCACTACAAATAATACATACCGAAGCACGCAAATGTTTGCTAAATTATAGTAACACATTCATGCATAATATTTATTTGTGACATTGCAAAGCAGCTGCGTACTGGCAATATATGGTAGGGCTGATACTATTGCACATCCTGATACTATTGCACAGTGAACTATGTACAGGCTAAGTAATCAGACAATATTCGGACTACACAACGAAGTCCAGTACTAGTTACTATACAACAATAGTTGTAACCGGAATGGAATCATTCTTGATGAACTGCGTATGTACATCTTCGGGATTAAAGTAAGCTCCGTACTACGCGACAGCATTCTAAATAAACTAATCCGCAAGTAAGTTCACGTTTATATTCTCAAATAAATTATCTGTCATGGAACCAGATCATTTCCAGCTTTGATAGTATGCAACACTTTGGACAAAGTGACCTGGAAGAATATATTGGGAACGAACAGGGCATTCCGAATTATAGGAATTACCGCCAATTTGAGGAATTAGCTGTCATTTCATCAGAAGATTAAAACCATAGAGACAGTTTTTTTTAAAGACCGTCATGATGGAAAACCCCGAAGCTTCGCAATAACGAGATCAATAAATAAATCAGGCGCGCCGTAACGGCAATTCTGACTGAGTTCCCTTATTTAATGTGTACGGATTTATTCAACTTGAACTCGGTTTTAACTACATTATAACAAAACAATACAAGCAATCCAAAGCGGATCCAAGACCTCGAGCACAAACAACAAAGTCGAAACTGGATTGAGTCTCAGTAATGGGCCTCCTCATATCGTTACCAAACGACTTGCGAAAATTCTACTTGGTACCACGGAACATCTAGATGTCAATTCGGAAACTTACACAGAGCGGCGGTGCGGTCTAGAATGAAATACGCAGTGTGCTTAGAGAGTGCCTCATTACGTTTATTGGTGACACAGTTATATACAGAGAATAAGCCGAAAGAATCTGATGGCTAAGTATGTTGCATCCGCTGCGAAAAGACAAGGAGGATTCTTAAATGGAATCAGCAAGTAACTTCGGCCTAGATATGGATAAGTAGTACACTCATTACACCCTGCTGCTGAATACCAGTTGTTGCTTTACGTTGGTCATGTACCTCATATAAGACTCAGAATCAGATTCAAGGTCACAACTTCCATCGCTATCGGGGACATTATAAGCTGATTGAGAATCAGATCTACATTCAGATAAGCAGCACTTCTTTCAAAGCCTGTTTCACTGCGCACAAGCAATTTAATCAAAAACTTGGTATTAGCGTCAAGTATTATAGTAGAATCAGTAAACGCTACCACTTTTGAATTCAACTTTCAGCATTACCCGCGGTTGTACATATTGGGTTCAATTGTTGAATCAACTAAGGAATCAGAATGTATGAATATTATCAATCGTGGATGTATTACTGTTCCAGATACACACACAGTTTCAACTGTAGAATATAATACCAATCAAGCACGAATAATATTTATACATTTCCTTAATTCTTTGTATATTCAAATGAACCGTGTATGTGCTGCTGTACCACATGTCTACACAACGATTATGAGTTGTGAATCCATTGCCACGGGGGCGGAGCAAGGTCAGGATTTCAAGCGCTGAACCTTTGGATGACATAAGAGTGAAGAGACGTAGTCTTTCTTACATCTCGGACTCGTTTCCGGCAGTAGGACTCACACGTTCTACACTAGTTGATGTTCCCGTGAAAATGTACGATACCCCGCCGGTTCCAGAGAATTATATAGGCGGCGACCAGCTCCTGTATAGATAGTCGTATTTAACAGGGCTCAACCCCGACTCTGAATCGGAACTGTCAATTGCATTGGCGGCTGCTAGACTCTACAAAATATATAAATAGCCATATAAAAGATACCTGTCTAGAATTCGACAAGTTTCATGTGTGCAAAGGATAACGCATAGAAGGGAGCATGTCGCATGGACAGGCCAGAGTGTCAAATGCCAAGCACCGGATTTACGATAAAACACACCGCTAGCTCTATGTGAAGCAGATCGTGGCCGTGGGTGCCCACAATGCGGATCATGTACAAACTGTGAACATGAGCGTAGCTAAGTATAGTCGTGGGCTTTTGTTCCAAAGGGATTCATGCTGGACCTTGGGCTCAGCCGGAAACGAATCTACGAGGAAATGTGAAGAATGACAAAGTCGAAGACTAAATATAAACTAAACAGAGGAAACGAAACGTCAATTCAGGTACAGTACAAGAAAACAAATATATTTGAACTTGATACATTGACATATCTATAAACTTATCGACGTGTTTACAATAAAAGCAAGCGTAAATTTGTGCACCAATATAAACATAAACTAAACAGGAACTAAACAAAAATAACTAAACGGTAATTTCGGATACAATACAAAGAAACTGAATCCGAGTGCCATTTAATACATTGACATATTTATACACATATATTCAGAAAGTAATAGAGGCAACAACTCATCATCAGCATTTTGCGCATAGTTGTCATTCTCTCATGTGAAATGCAAAACTAACAACCGATATGTTTCGGCCGACAGAACTGCGTACATAATCAAGTTTTTACCTTTCGAAATAAACTCAAGCTATAGATCAATTGAACGTGAAGAAAAGGCACACATTTGTTCAATACTCGCCTTTAGTTTGAACCTGCTCCAGGTGCTGCATGAGAAACTTCACCTTGACTACGTCCAGGGAAAATTTCTCGTCAGTCGGGCTTTTATTGTCAGTCCTGTTGAATATGTAAGATTTATCAAAACAATGTTTTACCCTGTATATATATTCCTCGCTGCACACAAAACCCGCCTCAATTTTATATCTGTGTAACGCATCTGCCTGCCAGAACTTGTGGACGATTTCATTACTCGGCACATGACAGCCTAGTAATAGTCGTAGTCAATAGAATTTTGGTTCTGTACTGAAGACGTACAAACATGGGTTTGTTTATGCTTAAAATATACACAAAGCGCTCATTGCAACATAGTCCAACCTACAAATTTTAGTTTAGAATCTTATCTTTGATATATTCTGTCCGTGTAATATCTACATATACATAAAGCGCTAATCACAACCTAGCTCATACTACAAATTTCAGTTTCGGATTTTATTTGGAGATATATGCAATTTATTCAAATCCAAAAAATACTTGAATGGGTATACTGCTTTATTGAGTATGCGCATGGTTTCTTTCAAGCAACTATATATATTTATGCACAGTTTTCATCAATAGTTTTCTTTAGGAACAGTTATAATATTACGAGGTTCCTTCTTATGATTCTTACAGAAACTCACTCCAGTCTTCCAAGTCCTTCTGCCATAGACTGATTCCAGAATTGCACTGGTACAATAGTACAGCACATCGTTGTTGCACACCGCTATCTTATTTAAAGTCAAGACCAGATTCAAGGTCATGATCGCACACTACCATTGGATTCAAAGTCAGAATCAGACTCAAGTTATCACTGCCTCTAATATCATAGCTTATCTGTGAATCAGTTCTACTATCAGGAAACAGCGCTTCTTCCACAGCCTGATTACAGACTTCCACATGATACAACACAGCGTGTTCGGTCAGTGTCTTCGCATTGAGAGTCAGAACCAGATTCAGTGTCACATTTCATGGTCACAATTTCCATAGCTGTCCCTGCTATCATATTTTGACTGTGAATCAGTTGTACAGGCAGTTTATGCCAGTTTGCATGCTGTATTTTAGATATTCAACTGCAGCTCTGCCTAGATTTCACCTAATGCCGGTTTGCGTTTTGAAAGGTGTAGCAGACATCATGTTTTCGGGAGACTTCTTATCGAAGTTGTAACAGGACATGCTTTTCAGCATACGCCTATCGCACAATGATCAGCTATGCAGTTCCCAAACTGTGCAAATGTACATCTGAAACGGGTAGTAGAATATACGCAGAACTTAAGTACTGAAACATGCTTATAACCTCATGGGCACTTATCTGTCCAACAAAGCTGTTGGTAAATTTCAATTCCAGTCTCACCATAGTTTTACATTAAGACAACCAAAGGCACATTTTGGTCCAGTCTTATCTGCGTTCCACATTTTGAAACCAAAGAAACGCATTTTTTCCTTTTTAGTTAATAAAATGTATAAAATAAAGTATCAAACTTGTGTCCAATTCTGGTTTGTCGTAAATGTTTTTGCCTTCTGTTTTCTCTGTTGAGGGGTCAAAAGACCAGATATATAGCATCCATGGGACAATTTTTTGGGGCCCTCCCTTAAATTTAGACCTACAAATACGCTTTTTAAAGGGACATTTATAAAGCGTTCTAAACATTCCCCTCTTCCATTCTATAATAAAGATATCATAAGACGTATACAGCTAAAGCTTTTAGTAAAAAAAAAAACTAACTGTTCAAACATAGCATTTAGAAATTGGAGGGTTTAGGAGACTATGGTTCAGGTTTAAAATATTGACGAGGGTTACAACTACATGCACAAGGCTATGTTCAGAAGAAAATTGACATCAGCTGCACACTAATGATAAAGTTGTTTTATAAATACCAGCGATATAAAGAATAGAAAATCAGCTACGATGTTATATTCTTGCGCCTGACCAAATTCGCACGAGATTTGCGTAGTGCTGATCCCAAGGCCTTAGTGGTGGCTGTAGACATTTTGTAAGGTTGCACAGTTCCTGGTATCTGGAAAAATAGAGTAAAACAATTTCAACGATCTATACCTGACACTTGTAAAGCTTGGTTAGCACAGTCGTCAAAGAAACTCACAAATATGATGGAATAAATGGGAATAGAAGTATGATGGAATAAATGGGAATACAAATATGATGGAATAAATGGGAATACAAATATGATGGAATAAATGGGAATATAAATATGATGGAATAAATGGAATACAAATATGATGGAATAAATGGGAATACAAATATGATGGAATAAATGGGAATATAAATATGATGGAATAAATGGAATACAAATATGATGGAATAAATGGGAATACAAATATGATGGAATAAATGGGAATATAAATATGATGGAGAAAATGGTAATACAGATATGATGGAGAAAATGGGAATACAGATATGATGGAGAAAATGGGAATACAGATATGATGGAGAAAATGGGAATACGATACCCTTATAAAGACTCACAAGGGTATGAGGTATGATTTCTTCATAAAAATGGAATGAACGATACAAAATCAAGAGTGCACTGCAAGTGGTGCGCACGAGTGCAAGGTGGAGGCATCACCGGTTGATAGTCATGATTCATGACAGTGAAGAAAATTTCGGTAGAAAAACTTGGTACTGCATGATAAAAATGCTATCGTTCCGACATATGTTTAGAGCGCTTACAATAACGATGCTGCAAAATCTTACTTTACTGGCGAATAGCTCAGAGAACCCATCGGCCATATTCAACGGCCCCCTCACGATTCTATTGACGAGTTTTAATTGACTCTCGGCCACCGGTGTGTAGATATGCAATCTCAGTTGTTCCATATCCACACCTTTCACGATACCTAACAGAAGGGAAACGCAGAAGGCCATGGTGTACACGGAAAAGGTAAGTAAATGTTCATCTCCGCAATACTTGTATCATTATCGTGAGTCTTGCTTTTCGAATACATTTGAGTTGAAGTCGATCCAGAAAAATATATTCGCAAACGATAGAAATTCCAATTAACCAAAAAATCTTTAATACCCAGGGTGTTCCAGAAATGAGCGATACTCGACGCTAACACGCGAAGAAGGCTTCAGACGCACGGCCAGTAGCATTCCCAGATCAACCACAGATTTAAGGATCATACGACACATCACAGACGCGATTTGAATAAGCGATACACATACAACAAGATAGTCTCAGTGAGAGATGTTGATGCTAGAGGCTACCTGACAAGTCATATGGCGCCATGTACTCTTGGATAAGCATTAGATCGGTTTACCAGGTTATGAACGCTATCAACCTCGCTACTTTGATTAGATATTCAGCAGTACACGCACGAAACCTTACCTAAACCTTCGCACACCGAGTTATCACTGATGCTTGAGATCAAGCCCACCAGACACCCGTTGATAGCAAACAATATATTCTCAGGCTGTACTTCCTCGTTCAGTACGGATATACACAATTGTGATATAGGGACTTCATATGTGACTCCGTGTTGTGCGAAATATGTTCTCATGGATAACATCCGTAAATCGGCATTCCTGTATTTCGCGCTGTGGATGACAGGTGTGTTAAGAGTATACGTGAGGTTTTTCAAGAGCCGCCTCTTCTTAAGTCAACGACACACATGCAGACGAGGAAGCACTGATGTATGCGGATAGTTTGTACTATAATCGTCATGTGTGGACGGGTGAAAAGCAAAACTGAGTCAAGAATATAGATAGTTCTATAGATTTATATGGTCTCACACGGCCACCTACATATACTCACACATTTGCATTACATAGTGATATTCTATAGTGATGAGACAGTAGTTAGAAATTTTACACATACATATCAATAGACAACTAAAAATTGCCCCGTTTGTATAACAACTTTTCAAAGCCGTCAATTTGCGTATAGTCTTGTTTGTAGCCTAAAATCATTCAAGCACACGCAAAATACTCGGAACAGATACGTACCTTATAGGAGTACGAAAAGAACAGGGCGCAAGTACAGTCAGTGCGTGTTCGCTCGCCATACTCTCAGCCGTACTATCACCGTTCTCCGTATTGCTGGTGTATTCTGATGGTACAGCGAACTGTGGGTGGATAAGTTGTAGATTTGCGGACTGTGGGAAAGTGCCGTCTAGAATATCACGCGGAGATGGATCGGCATAACAATCCAAAGACATGAACTGCTTAAATGCATCCTTCAGCATCGAATTGGTAAACAGCGGCATAGCTATAGCGCTGGGCCCGTTACTTTCGAATGCAAATTGTACCACGTGCGTGGGGTTGCTGGCGGCAACTACACGGAATACGAGCTCGAGTCCGATCCCTTTGATCCACCCGTGTGTGTTGATCACCAAGGGAAGCGAATATCCCTTGTCCGCTGCTTCTTGAGCTAAGGTTCGGTACTAAAGGTGGTGAAGAGCAGCGATAATGAGAGAGCACCTACACTTTATACCTTGCTATAGTTGATCGACAATCATATACAGAAAAATACACATACAAACAGACAGATAAATATACGATAGTCACTATCAAAGGCCAGAAAAAGATTGGGAAAATATATTGAAGCGTTTGTGCGTGTTCAAATTTGACGCATGAGTGTATATAAAGATATGCCATTCTCTATATATTGTCATCAAGCGAGAACCAATAAATACTGATTCATAAATAAATGTCTATATGTATACATGCGTACGTAAGTACTATATATATATATATACACACACACAAACTCACACACACATACAAATATATATATATTTATATATATACATACACATAAAAATAAATACTTACGTGGATACAAGCACACATGAATACATGCAAACACACAATATATATATATATATATAACATATATATATATATATACATACCGAAAAACATACATACATACATACACACACACATATATATATATACACACCCACATA